CGCCGCCGCCGCCGCCGCCGCCACCGCCACCCGTTGCAGAGGATAAAACATTCGAGACGCCAACCAGACCGCTGCTACTCGTCGCGGTAACTCCACCGGCAGCGATGACAGGACCGCCCGCGGTCGCAGCGGCCGCTGCGGCTGCTGCCGCCGCGGACGATGCGGCCGCACCACCCTGCACGTACGTCGCTCCCGTTCCTATCGTCCTCGGAGACACCGGGCTACTGCTCTTGATGTTGACATAATTTTGCGTCGGTCTGCAATCATAAAATTTCGTTAGACTCCGCGTAGAGAAAAAAAAAGTTTGTGTGTGTGAGACTGGTATTATATTATTATAATTGAGATACAATATTAAGAGGGCAACGAAATTATTTTTTATCGTTAAATTGTCATACAAACTATAATGATCTATTAAATTTATAAGTGCACTAATAATTCGACCACCAATTGTTCATTTGTGAACTATGATGTAACTACTATTCGAATTTCTCTATTGTATTATTTAGGTAACTGTTGTCATCAAATGAATAGAAAATGAAAAGTACAAATATATAGAAAGTACCTACGAAACATACATAAGTTTATACTGCGATAGAGTAAGCATCGTTTGCGAACTTAAGTAGTCTTCTAATGTAATAGATAAGCTGATATATTATTATGCAGTTGACAACCAAAAAAGATAATTACGCATTGATAATATCGTCACATCTGAAAGTCACGTTACAGTTTCTTTTACATTAAAAACGATGACGTTATCGTGATCTTTAAATGTAGAAGTTGCAGCAACGAAAGGATATCTAATCGTATGGAGCACCTTATCGATATCATTAATCATTTGGTACTCCGATTTAAATATAACTTACTTCGTATTGTATCATATTGTACTGTTACGATAACAAATTCTTACGTTTGGCGAAAGCACTTCTCGATAATTTCCAATATTATTAAATCTAAACATTTACAGAAAATGGAAGTAGTATACAGATAAATATTAAATGACTAAAACTCACGCGGTTGCCACAAATTTTTAATCGCAAAATTTCTTGACACTTCCCTGATTTACTGACAAAATTCTGAGGTTTTTCCTGACTTTGAATAATACATATTTTGCAATGTTTCTTTTATTTTTATCGTAATACGGAAAATGTTAAATATTCTGTTGATCCAGCAATGTAACATAGATGCACATTTTCTTCAGGAAACGAATTTCCAAAAAAACAAAGGTGGTCCAAACCAATCATAGAAGCAATAAGGCAATAAAAATTTATTTACAGCTGACTTTTCCTGACTTCCCTGACGCATTTTTTTTTAAATTCCCTAACTTTTCCCTGGCTTCCCTGATTTCCCTGACTCGTGGCAACTCTGAAAACTATACGTGTCAGTAAAATGTATTAATCATGTATTAGTCATACGACGAGCTTGTAGAAGCGTTGCAGCGGTTTGTTTATCGGTTCGTGTGTCACTGGCACACGTCATACACGCGCGGCTGATCCAATTTGAACGGCTTAGAAGAAAAAGAAAACTGTCAAGCAACGGCGATTGACAATGGCCTAAACAACTTTATACCGATCGACGTCCATTGGTCTTTTTGCCTCTATCCAATCACGATTCCCATCAAAGTTTCTAATTCTCTTTCCGAAGGCCACCATTCTGTAATCCGAAACGTTGGAACGAAGACTTTTTCTCGTATCCGGCCGAACATTTCACTGATTAATTTTTAAAAGGCAGTGCTCTCTCTCTCTCTCTCTCTCTAATAAATTTAACGATATTGAATAACTCATACATATTGCCAAAAAAAAAGAAACCCCTATATATATATATATGCTGCACTTGTATGAGTTCAATTATTATACCTTTTCTTTTGCAGTTGTTATCGACGTAAAAGTAAAAAGTAAACAAGCGATAACCCGAAAAAACTCAAACCCGTTGGATTAATGAGCTGCTCGAAACCTGCGGAATGACTCTAAAGTGAATAAATAAAATTTAACGTCGGTGTACTCTGAGCAGCAATTGGAGTCAATTTAACGTAGTTTTGTTTGCATCCTCTCCGTTGCCGAATTTTTCGACATTAAAAACGCAGCGTTGAAAAATCGCTCGCTTTTTTTCACTGCTCACTTGATAACTACTTTTGCTAAAAAAAAAAAAAAAAAAAAAAAAAAAAAAAAATATTGATAACCCAGCGTTTCAGTGTTGAACCTTGTACATTGGCATACAGCTCATGCTGTTTCGTCATGGATCTTCTAGAATAACCGCGAACTAAAATTGTATCTCTCTAAACGACCTTAGCGTTGCAAATAGCTGCCGACGAAAGAAAAGGAGAGAGAGAAACAGAAACGGAATCACATGACTATAATTAAAATACAATGACGATAATTAAAATACACGCTTCAGTTTAATTCGACACTGATGATGATTGTAACATGATTCTCGCCGATTCATTATCTCGTCCGATGCTCAGCGGATAACGGTATCCTTCGACGGAATTTCTCGGAAATATCGCGTATCTCGTCGAACCAGTCAATAACGATGTCCAGGGCGAAGTTTGTGACACAAATAAAAGTGCAGGAAAATTATCAACCTCAAAACAGGTGCAATTATGAGAGAATATATAATTACAGTGTTAATAATAGAAAAAGGACGTGTTAAAATTCGAAAAAGTATTCAAAAATACTCTCTGTCTCTCTCTCTTTCTTTCTCTCTCTCATATAAGAGTCATGACAAAAATTCCTTATCTTAAAATTCAATAATTTCTCCCAGATGCTTCCAATAATATTTTCAGATGTTTTGTATTTTCATTCTAATTTGGAAATTGTCAAACACAGTGATGTAAATTACAAAACATTAAGTAACCGACCAATACGAGCATAAAAAGTTGAAATTTAGTAATTATAAGCACTATACAATTAATGCTATTGTTCTAATTTGATCTATAATATAAAATTACATACAATGTTTAACAAACGTTTCAGCTTCACAGAGCCTTCTTCAGTGTAATAATAATAATTTACAATCGTTATTTATAATGGAACAAAAACTTCGGTTTAAATTTTTTCTAAACAAGATCTTGATCTTATAATCTTCTTTTGATGTTATTCTTCTTTTCAATTCAGAAATCAACCACATGGATTGATCCCAGTTCGTCATATTGTAATCCAAAAGAATGTGATCGTTGAAAAGCGAGAAATTCAATTATGTCAAAAAAACAATATCGTCAAACCATTGAAAATCTTTCCAAATTTAAAAGAAGAAGAACAAAGACATGTCAGAAACATCGGAATGATATTAATGCAATGTAAATTACCATTAATGTTGTTGACACTGCTTGCATTGTTAAATTCGTAAAATATCTGCGGATATGATGTATGTATATTAAACTTAAAAAAAAAAAAAAAAAAACCATTTTAATTTCTCAAAAGATTTTGTAAAATTCCCTGCCTCTTTCCCTTGCCGTTTTCAATTTCCTTGACATTTTCTCTGATTTCTAATTTTGTGGCATCCGTCATATTTTATTTCATTTTTAATTACACTGTATATTATCGATACTTGTAATCCATATTGAAACTCTACGTACATACATACCTCTCGAGAGTATAACGGTAAAACGCGTTGAAAAAAAGATAGGACGCAGTCGAGTCTTCGTTAAGGAAAAATCAACTGCAATTAACGAACAAATCGATAGATCCAGTTAACTCGGAATAAAAAATGTGATTGCAAAAATTGCAATTTCTCTTGCTTCTGTTTGCCTCGCCGCGCCAATGGGTTATTAATTTAATTGAACTAATTAGTAATCCCGACGGAATCGAGCGCCAGGCATTAAACGCGATCGATACCGAATGGAGTATCGATACTATAGAAAAGGAGTATTGTCTACTAAGTGTGAGTTCCAAAACAAGCGACGCATCATTAATTAGAAAAAAAAAAAAGAAAAGAGCGCCGAATGTCGACAAAGAAATTATTATATATTCAGCGATGCTCGTAAGATCTCAAAGAGCTGAACGAGGATATAAAAATTTCGTTCAAGATCGCAGAGAACAGCATTATTAAATTCGAATAGATTATTCCGGCTAAAATGCATGCAACGAATCGTGGAAAATTTTGCAGAAAATTCCTTACTATTCACATCCTCGCTTTATACGTGTAACATAAATAATGTAGCGTTACGTCCATATAATAGCGTTTTCTTTTTTTTTTATCAAGTTTCGCGAAGGAGAGAAAGAGATGACGGATTCGAATCCATCATTGATACATTTCGGATAAAATACCCAGTAGAGAATGTTACACGTATACCTATTTCTGAACGATTCAAGCTCTTATCGGTCTCGTGTGGGCGGCAAATAAATGATATTCGCGTCTAGCAACGACCTCGCTCCTGACATCTCTCTTTCCCGCGTACACGTATCTCAATCCCGAAGGTTTCCATCGATCGCGCCCGGCAAAAGCGAGTCGTCGCCCCCGACCCGCGACAATTACCGCGAGAAATTATTGACATCCACGGCCGATATGGCAGGGCGGTTCCTCCAATTTTCTCGCGACTTCAAGATTTATCTTGATCTCTGTATGGATATCTCCTAATATTGGATTTTCCTCATTTGCTAAAAGTGTCTTGTGAAAACTAAATTTACGAATATAATTACATCTGTACACATCGCTTTTCACGCGAAACGGAAGGACGCTCGAAGAGATCCAAGCTAAACGCGATTTGCATCTCCCTACATCAATTAGGATTAAATCTGCTGAATGATTGCGGGGTTACCATTGTATACGCGATCCGTGTTCCGCCAGCGTCGTGCGTGCACCTTCCATAGGCCGTGAGAATGTCGTCTCGCGGGAGCGGCGTTTCTCGGATTTTGCAAAACGCATAGAGGTACAGAGGCGTTCAAAATTGGATCTATAGGTGAAAAGGGAAAGAGACCCGGCATGACGCGTGAAATAAGCCGACGATACGAGAAGAGGATGGACGAGGTCGGAGTGGAAAAGGAAACGAGGAGGAAGTGGCCCCCGGCGCGTATGGGAAAAAGAAGGACCGCGTGGAGAGTACAGGCGCGCGAGAGAGAGAGAGAGAGAGAGAGAGAGAGAGAGAGAGAGCCGAAGGTGAAATTATGGGGTATACCCGTGCGCGGCCCGAACCTGCCGACCAATCGCGCGACGCCTCGAAAATACGATTCGCGCCGGGGAACAGTTGCCATTGGCGTTCCGCGCGGCAAAGCACTCGGATCGGACGGCCAGCAGCGACATTTCGGCGGCGGCGGCGCGCGGCGCGCCACGCCACACGTGGCAGAGTCCCGCTGCGCGTGCGCACACCGCCAACGGGTCCCTCGACGAGGGGGGGGAGGGAGACGCGGGGCGCTCGCGCGCAGTTCCGCGTGTCGGCTGCCGACGCGACGACGACGTCGTCGTCGAGTGAGTGCGCGCGCGCGCGCGCAGGCGCGCTGCACCCGCCAAAGAAGGGTGAATGCGCCTCTGCCGCTTGGCTCTCTTCGAGAGCGCGCGGCGTTGCCGTCGCCGCGCGCAGGTCGCCGGCACACCGTTGCCGAATCTCACGTCGTCGTGTGGACCCCACGACGCGGACGACGAACGCCGCGATTCCGCCCGCCCGCGCGCGCGCTACTTGCGCGCTAACGGGGATTACGGCGGAAGGTTAATCGGTGACGGACGGACGGACGAGAGTTCGTTGTTCAACCGCGATTGCCGCTACTTTTCCCCGCCCGTCCCTCCTCCTATCCCCCTTCTTTTTTCTTCCTTCACGAGGCGCAAAACCGAAGATAGAGATGAGATCCTCGTTCGCAGCTTCTCAGGCGCGCGCGCGCGCACACACACACGCGTGACTGTTTTTTCAAAGAAATCCATATCGCGCAAGAAACCACGCCGCGGTCGGACTTGGCGAGCGAGCGATTGCCGCGCCGGCGCGGCAGCTTCAATAAGATAAGCTAACGGCGGCGGCGTACGCGAGAGACGAAAAAAGTTCTATTCCTTTCAAATATATATATATATATATACAGTCGACCCCGAGCGACACACGGCGGCCGCGAACAATAGGTAACGCACCGTCTCTCGGCGGACTGTACTTAGCCGCAGCGCGCCTTACGCGTCAAAAGCAAAGCGAGGTGCGCAAAAAAAAAAAAAAATAAAACAACAGCAGATCGACGAAATATCGCGACTTTACAAATGTGTACTTTGCGATGTAAAATAATCTTCGCGCAGCCTTGCACTTCGGATCTACATTTTCGCTTTGCATGACACAACGAAAAAAAGAGCCTCGTCTAGAGTAGGGTACACGTCATGTGCATATTAATGCAGGCGTTCTTGTAACGTTAACAGGTCTTCCTTTATTTCTGCACTGTAGAACTCCCTTCTTCTCGCTTTCGGGCAAATATTGAGGAATTTAATAAGATGCATCATTAAAAAGCACGAATGAAAGAAAAAAAAAGGAAATATCTCGCAGGTAAACTCGATACGAGAAATAATGTCTGTAATTATGTTGGTAGTTGGACGTGTACGAACGCACGTAAAACCCCGGTCGAAGATTGAATTCCTTCGCGCCGTACGCAAACGTCGCGCAATTTCAGATAAGTCCGCAATAATGTTATCGTCAAAAATAAAAGTGCTTCCGTATGATGGCGTCGCGAATTTATTTCTCAGCCTCCTAGAAGGAGGTTGAATTACACCCCGCGCGGTGGAGGAGGAGATCGGCCGTCGTAAACGGACGTGAAATAGAGCGAGCCAGCCGTACATCCGAAACGCTCTTACCACGCTAGATACTCTTACCTACTTCACGTTGGACAAAGAGATGTACGCGATGCACGAACGCATTCCTAGGATCGATAACGCGAGATGCACGAGTTTCTTTTTGTCCTTTTTCAAAACGTATAGAAGGTGCGAAGTGAAAGTAAACATCACTCGGTCGGTTAAAGGATCCTTTTTCTGGTGTGTGAACAAACATTCGAACTATTCTAATATTTAATTGTAGTTTCTATTTTTCCCCCGCACAGTACAACTACTTGCACTTATTTATAATTGTATTTCTTCGCTGTAACAGAAAGATAAGCGATCTGTATTTCCAGTATCGGCACATCTTCGTTTACGGTTTTCGATCAATGAGAGATCGTTACTTGTGATACTCTTAAAGAGAAAGTGTAACATACATATTCATCGTTACACGCGCTTGTTCGTGAAGAAAACGTAATTGGACGTAACGGTAAAAAAAAAAAAAGGTACTTAATAGAATGAAAAATCTCAACACTTCCCTCGTTAGGGTAGCCTAAATTTTTTACGTATTCTAATTCTTTCCCCTTGCTCCACTCTCTCTCTCTCTCTCTCTCTCGGGCGTCATCCCAGAAATTATCTCGTTTAGGCATGCAGGTTGGCAGCTCTGTCGGCACATGTGGTCTAATAATTTTCGTGCCTCCAGGCAGGGAGAGAGAGAGACTCTTCGTGGAAACGTTGCCCTGGCCAATTCCCGGCGCCGAGGTTCGTCGATTGAAATCGGCATTCGCTCGAACGACCGATGGTCTCTCTCTTCCTCGACTATGGGCTCTCTCGATGACGTAACGGTCACTGACCCCCTCCCACCTCTAGCGAGCCCTCTTCTTCCCATCCCGTCCCCTCGCCCGCGATGCTTCTACTCAGCCCCACCATGCCGCTGTCATCTATTCTTTCTCCCTCTGACGGGTGATGCGCGCGCGATACGGCGTTCGTTATACGCATGCATTGCATAGGTCAGCGCGAGGAAGAGAGCGAGGGTGCGTGTGTGTGTACGTGAGTGGCAGTCGCACGCACGCACGCACGCGACGAATACAACGTGCGCGGCACGTACGTTGCGTACACGCCGTCGTCGACGAAGACGTTTCGTTTAACGACGAGTCATTAAGTTTCGGGTATCCCGATGATGACTCCACTACGTGTCTCTCTCTCTCTCTCTCTCTCTGACTTGTGCGAATCGAACAAATGCTCTCGCTTCTAATTGACGCTTCTTCTATTCGTGACTGCAGACGAGACACGCATCGATGACGTGCGATATGCTTCACCGCTAACTGCAGCATCCGAGATTATCGAAAACGATGCTGCGGTCCGACGTTTTCGATCGTGACACGCTAGATAGGCGTGTAACGAGTTCAGGATTACCACGAATTTTTAATCGTAAAATTCCCTCACATTTCCCTGACTTACTGACAAAATTTCGAGATTTTTCCTGACCTTGAATAATACATATTTTGCAACGTTTCTTGTATGTAATATAGATGCACATTTTCTTCAGGAAACAAATTTCAAAAAAGAAAAGGTAGTCCAAACCAATCATAGAAGCACAAGGCAATATAAATCTATTTTCAGCTATTTTATTTTCAAGTGTACTAAATCCCTGACATTTCCCTGACTTATAGCGACTCTGCGAGCTAGATAAATAAATGTAACGAAATTGAAAAAGACTTGGCAATTCTACTGACTGTAGACAATTACTTGCGTCATTTAATGCATCAACAACGTGAGCGATAAGTCTGATATGAATGAATTTATACAACTATCCTGAAACTTCCTCCTGAAATGTAACTTTAGATTTAGGAATCGTACACAATGTAAATTTCTATCGATATCTATTTTTATCGCTTGGACTTTACGAAAACTTGTTCAAATAAATATAGTATAATAAACAAGCCCTAATAACAAAACACGAAACGCGCTTGGCAATTTAAATACAAAAGTTTCTGCAAAGTTACGTTTCTATTACGTTTACATAACACGTACAATTATTCTAAACTGCTTTTATTCAAAGCGAATGCTTTCAAAAATATTCAAAGAGCCTTTACGACGAACGATAGCTGTACCGACAATAATTTCTTATCAATCTTATCTATATTGTAATTCAAACACGTTATGTCTCGTGGATATCGGGTGTAATAAACAAATTCCAGGTGCATTTTATGAAACGCGAAGTTGACGAGTTTTGTGCAGATCTTAATAATGGCGCAAAAATAGGGGGCCATCAGTGTCGGAAGAAAAAAGAAAGGACAACTCGTCGACCGTGCATCCTGCTCACAGAGAGGGAGAGACAGACAGGGGAGGAGGGAGGGGGGGGGGGGGAAGAAAGGAGGGAGAGAAGCGTTGGGATCGATAACTCATGTACACGCTACATAGCGCGTAACTCGTACGAAAACACGCATGTTGTACGCACAGCGGTATAGGAGAGCAAATGACTTCGTGTTATCAGTGACACACTAAATATCGGCATACCACTTACGACGAAAAGAAGCGCGCTGCGATTTCCGCGAGTACAGCCTCTACTTGAACTTCCAGACGGCAATTTTCCATTTCACCGTGTAGAGCCGTAATCACCCTGGGCGATCGCGCGATTGTGATTGACGATCGAGGATCACTTATCGACCAATCGGAGCGCAGCAATCGGTGACTGCTTTGCTCCGATTGGTGGAAAAGTAATCGTCGATCACAATCGCACGATCGCTATAGGGTGATTGCGGCTTAATGCAACGAGCATTAATATAGCAGAGTGCCGAGAGTTTCGAGCACACGCGACCGATCGATATCTTCCTTCATTTCTTAATAGCGCGACCTGAAGAGCTCTGTCCTGGATACATAGCTATGTGACCGGAGCCAGTCGAC